CTCTCTCTCTCTCTCTCTCTCTCTCTCTCTCTCTCTCTCACTCTCTCACTCTCACACATACACTCACTCACTCACTCTCTCTCTCTCTGTCTCTCGGGGGTGTACTATAAAAATGACGTAGATTCTTGGGAGGCGTATATGGCGCGCCATAACGCTCCCATAAATAGGAGCATTAGAAAGTCCCGCGACCTTGCCGCTCAGTCGTTCGGACGCACCGGACTCCTTTGGATCTGCTGGATCCTGTCGACTCGTCACCTCCTGAGGGAAGCGCAATTCGTCGCTCGCTACTATACTACACCTATTCTATAGCAGAAGCAGCAGCGAATAAACTGCCGAAATATCTGTGCGAACACGACGTCACGGGTTCCTCCTGTAATGTTGTAATAAAGATATAAGGCGGCGTTTTATAGGCAAGGGTTACTGTTAGGTCAGAAAGCTGAACCGTAACTACAATCAGCGACGGTGGTGACCTGTACGCGAACGTGACCAAGGACCCTTGCTCCCGCGTCACTCCTCCACAGCTTCGAGATTCATTGCTACTTCCATTGGGAAGTATATCTCAAGAAGCATCCCCAAGGAATGCCTATTTCCCACCATGAAAAATCTATCTAGTCCCTTAAGAATTCCTTTCGGAGGAATTCGCGAGACGCTTAGACTCTTCGATTTTACTCCTTCGGAGGGAAGGATTTTTCCTAGTTTACCGATACCGAACTTTGGCCATCATTTCCGCCAATATCTAGACGGCTCCTCGCTCGTAATATCATTGGATGGCGGGACAATTATTTTCCGTGCGCACGTATTCTTATGAAGGGATGCGACAAAGACAGAAGCAAGGAATGCATGGGCAGTTTGGCCGGACGGTGACCATTCGGAGGACCCGGTCGACTGGCATTGGTTACGATTCGATTTTTGGCGACTCGACCCTTTCGTAGGAGATTCGAAAGGAGAAACGGAAACAGGAACAAAGGAGAAGGATAGGGTAAAACTAGGATGCGACGGCCAGAGAAAAATAACCTAACATAATAAAGATATATTACGTCTCTTGGATCGTCCTAGCGTGTGCCATCTTAAAGTCATTTCCGGAAAATGTAAGTTTGAGCGTCACGGACCGCACACCGTTCAGCCCTTCTCCTCTCTCTCTGCCTTCCCGGCCTTCATCCTTCTAGCACTTGCTCGCCCTAATAGCAACTTGATAAATTGCTGGCTAGTATGATTCTTTCAATATTGCTCCCAAAGTTGCCAATTCTTCTCGCGGAAATGCCATAAATAATAATACATGCATCAGAACACGATGTAGTAGGTATAGCAGGAGAAGTTGAAATGATAACTAAGAGCAAGAGAATCGGAGTCCCAAGAGTTTGAGACAATCGCACGGGCAGCAGAAGCACAAGAGTGGGCTTAAAGAGATGCCCGCAGCTGTCATTGAATAATGATAGGATGTCCCATCCAGTTGCCTCCGCATGTGCGCTCCCCGCTTTGCTCCACACTCGCTTCTGGCAGTCGCTCCTCTGCTACTACTACTTCACAGCGAGGATGATCGTCATATCGTCATCGCGATGACAATAATAGCGAACCGTCGTGGCACGAATCACTTATGCCTCGTTACTTCGTAGTCCATTCCTTCTATAGGATCGGATGAATCGGTCGGATCGAGCTGATCGGATGTGTTCATTCTGAATTGGTCATCCGTGGACATGTGAATAGGAAACCTATCCGGTGGTGGTACTATCAACTATCGTGCTATCAATTTCGGTGGATCTTGGATTAATCCTTGGGACTCTGAGTCACATGATACAGGCTGGGTACTTTTCGCGTAAGACCACACCGTGCGCATATAGATCGCGTTACTGTGTTTCATTACGGTACCGGATACGTCGCTACGGCGTATCCTGTCGCTATGCCTAGAGACAACCGGTAGCCGCTATAGGTAGATATAATACCAGCCTGGAGTTATGGTGTGTCCTCTAGCTATCCCACTTTATGGATGAGGCATCGACTTCCTGTTCCTCTTCCTTTGTTTCTCGAATATCACTTTACCTTGCCCGTGGTCGTCATTAGTCTCACTCGCTGAGCGAGAGAGTCGCTCCTCCTCTGTTTTCTCTTATTCTTTGCATTCTCAAAATTCTTCGAGGAATCAACTTATTTCGTCGCTGCACGATCCGAGCGACGAGCAGGAGAATAGAAATTGCACGTGGAAATAGCGACTTGGAATAGAATCTAACCTTTCCCATTATAGACGCGCCCGGCAAATTCATGGCGGTCCCGTATGAACGCGATGCTCGCAACGAGAACTCATTTGGTCAAACACGAGGCTGCCGAGATGTAGTCGACACGGATCGACGCAGCTTCCACCTAAATTACAGCTGGCCTTTACGACCGATCAAAAGTATCTTCGAGTCCGCGATCAGGAAAATATTTACGTTGGCTATGTTTAGAGAGGAGTCACTCCGCCACCTCGTTTCCCCTGTCTCCCCTGCACGTATTCTTCAGTCACTCAGCATCTTCCACTGTGAAGTTTAGTTGAGCTTAGATCCCAGTAGGATGACACCATTCTGCGGATAATCCGGCCTGCGTCAATTGTCACGGAAATCTGTTCAATTACTGTAATTACCGTTGCTCTCTGGAAAACTTAATGCCTCTCTCGTGGCGTCTGCGACAAACTTAGGGGATTTAGCGCAAGGAACGCGAGTCACTTTACCAGCCGCGTGCTGGGTTTTCGCCAATTGGGACAATCATTCGATATTGTGTATTCTTCTTAGGCCTTTCACGTTTTTCCGTCTTTCAATAAATAAATCCCGAGTCAATTTCAAATCAATTTCGTAGCTTCCTGAGACACCGTAGGATCTCTCGAGCGGGAGGGGGAGAGGGGGGGAGAGAGAGGCTGCACAGAGCCTGGAATCCGGTGGAACCTATCCGTCCTCTGTCTATCCGTTCTTCTTTTTTGGAGGGTGGTGATTTCGGCACCGGCAGGACTCATTTCTATTCATCCGAGGAAAATAAAGGCGGACCCGATCGCGAGTTCCGATAGCCATGAATATCTTATCTGCATAATATCGTGCTCTCCTTCGGGAGTGTGTGTGTGTGCGCGCGTGAGAGCGTATTGGAACGCTGCTCTCCCTCTCTCCCACTCCGAGACTCTCAGTGCTCCGGATTCCATCTTGTGCCGTTCACACGTGTTTTCCGTGCGTGGGCGGAGTAGCGTGCGTGTCTCTCGCGCACACAGCCAGCCAGCCAGCGTCTACGTTTAGGAGAATCTGGTGGCTGCGTGTGTGCACGCACGCACGAGGTGTGAGTTTATTGTCGGAGGGACCGTGAGCTACCGTGTGTACGGGCCTTGAGGTT